TCTTTCTCTCTCTCTCTCTCCCTCTCTCTCTCTTTCTCTCTCTCTCTCTCTCTCTCTCTCTCTCTCTCTCTCTCTCTCTTGCTTCTTCCCTGCACTATATGGCCGTTATTGTGTCAAGGTGCTTCTTCTCTTTTCTCTAACTTTGTCTATTATTACCTGTTTGAGTTATGTGGCGTTATTTATATGCTCGCATGACGGAGTCGGACAGGCGTACAGATGATGGTGGAGACTGGAGACAACACTTGGTCTACTACCTACCTTGTGTCGTATGTCTCTTGTCTGGCTTACCCAACTCCGCTTGTTGGGGACAGTGGTAGCTACGGGGACAGACAGACAGACACTGGTGTGTTGCGTCATGATCAGACCCTTGTGACCTCTGGGGACACGGGCCGGCCCGTCTCCTACTACTGTTGTTACGTGTATAATGTTGTATATATTATCTCTCTCTTTCTCTCTCTCTCTCTCTCTTTCTCTCTCTCTCTCTCTCTCTCTCTCTCTCTCTCTCTCTCTCTCTCTCTGTTGTTTCTGTCTGAACGAGTATAATGTTGTATCTGTTTCTGTTGTTTCTGTCTAGTCTTACCTTTCCGTTTGAGTGGGTGTTTGGCAGGTGCTTTGGTGTGGTTTGCTCCTTTTTTCCTATCAAACTTCCGTCGTCCTTATCTCTCCTCCTTATTTTTTATGTTTGTTACTCTCTTGGAACACCTCTAATCTTCTGGCGCTCATATGACCTTTTGCAGTTGCGAGCGCCGTAAAACCTCTACTAAAACTTTTTAAAAAACTCTCTCTTTTCATTGTACTTGTATTATGCTACTCTCTAGTAATACCAGTAATCTTCAGCACTTACAGGTCCTAGCGTAATTGTGTTGCAAATGCTGTGAAGTAATACTCATACCAAAACTGATAGAAATTTAAACAAAACAAATTGTAATGAAAGCACCCCTGTAGTTGTAGTTCGCATGATCGAACACGGGTGGGGACAACAGTCGGGCTAGTCGCTACCCTTGAATTTTTACAAAGTTCTATCCGCTTAATGTCTAGTGTTGAGAAATTTGACGTTAAAAGTTTCACTACATGTCAAGCTTTTTCGAATGCAGTTCTGTGAATATCTTGATGATGACTCCAAATAATTTTGCAATTTTGAAAGAGCAGATAGAACATTTGGTTTCTGACCTCAAGATCTTAGTAACTCAAAACGGCCAAAAATGTCAGATAAACCTTTGTAAGTGTAAGGTAGCGAAGTGTCCCACATCCACTACAGTAGTTCTGTCCCCTGTCGTCTCCGGCCGGTGTTTGTGCCGTTGTCTCTGCTCTGACCAGCGGCCGTTATTTCCCCTTCTTCTTTCCTTTGTATATGACTCTTTCAAGAAAGCTTCTAGGCTAAGTGGCTGGTTAGCGGGTGCTCTGGTGTGGTTTGCTTCTTTTTTTCTATGAAACATCTATCGTCCTTATCTGCCCTTCTTCTTTTTTATGTTTGTTACTCTCTTGTAACACCTCTAATCTTCTGGCGCTCAAATGACCTTATGCAGTTGCGAGCGCCGTAAAACCTCTCCTAAAGAGAAAAAAAAGGCTTCTAATTGTCGACATTTGTACTTATTATATAGGATATAGGACATGTTGTGTTGCGAGTTCCGTAAAACTGTTACTAAAGTAAGACAAACTCTAACTAAAACTAAACGACTAAAACTAGAGGCGGAGACAAGAGTTGGACATGTGTCACGTATCCAGTACAACAGTCTCCTGTCTTCTCCGGCCGGTGTTATGGCTGTTGTCGCTATCAGCAGTGACTGCGTGACCAGTGGCCGTTATTTCTCTCCACCGTCTCCTGTACTGCAGCTGTCTCGTGCACGTCTGGCTTTGTAGTGTGTGCATGTATGTTGTGGGAGGTTCGGAAAGGTCACACAGCGGCACGCAGTGGGTGGTTGGCGGGTGCTCTGGTGTGGTTTGTTCCTTCTTTCCTTTAAAAAATATATCGTCTCTCTCTCCTCTCCCTCTTTTTGTGTGTTTGTTACCCGCTTGTAACACCTCTAATCTTCGGCACTCACATGACCTTATCTAGTTGCAAGTGCCGTAAAACTCTTACTAAGACTAAACTAAAACACAGCAGTCAGCTCGGGGTTGGTCAAAGGGTGTCACTGCATGGTAGATACTACTTCTTTACTCTATTTCTGTTAGTGGGTGGTTGGATGGCGCCGAATAACACAGTGGGGTCAGAATAGTCATGTTAGTAACATTCCAGAATACTTTATGAGATTTCTGTGGTTGTACTATAGAGCATAGAATGAGAAGGAACCCCCCCCCCCCACACACACACACACACACGCACACGCACGACTACACGGTGGGTCTTTGGTACGTCTTCAATTAGCACACAACTGATTAGGCACATCGAGAAATTACGTAATGTGCGTTTGTTACTCGGTCTCAAAACAACACTACGGGTGTTTAGTATGTACTGTTTCCAAGTAACACAAAGGGTGTTAGGTACATTTACATATATACGATAACGTGTCTCTGGTACTTTGTGTATGTAAACAACATTGTAGGTCTTTTGGTATGTGTCCAAACAACACGACGGGCTGTATACAGTATAGGCACGTAGACTACAAACAACACAAATGATATATGTGTTTGGTCCTTGGGTTTGCTAACAACACTTGGTATTTGTCACGTTACAGATCCAATTTTCGACAAGTGTTTGATTTGGG